GGATATTTTCAGAAGATTTATTAGAAGTTCAGTTAATCAGAAGGGATAAACTGAAAAGCCATTAAGAAGGCTACCATAAAAGTATGTGAACTATAAAAGAATAGGCACAACCCAAAGATGGAGTTAAATTGCCACTGGGCAACTTAAAGAAACTTTTTCACCTTTACAGGGAGAATACATTTTTGCAAAATATTTTTTTAAACTGGGAAATTATACTGTGGTGAACTATATTTTCACCTATTCTCTCCAAGTGCAGCATCTAATTGTACAGAAGAAATAAACCTGAAAGACAATTATTTTTCTCCAGATTGTTTGATCTACTGTCAAGTACAATAGAAGAACTAGAAGAATTTCAGGGATATAATCTCCTATGAATTTCCATGACTTTCTGTAGGACATTGCCTCTCACAACTTGGTTGATAAAAAAGTGATTATCCCATAAACATCGAAGGTAAAGTATATCAAATAAAGTGGATACAACAATGTGATTTAGTTATTTATGCACATTAAAAAAAAAGACATTCAAATCTGGAACTAAATTTCTCTCCTGACTATACTACAAAGATGGATGTGAAGATAGGAAAGATAACATTCAGGTCACAGAAACATAACATAAGATAAAAAACTCCTAGTATGATTCTTAAAAAGTACCTTGATATGAAAAAATTGTGTTTATTCTAAACACTGTGACACTTCCTGCCTATTGTTCATGTGAAGCATCTATAGAAATACAACTCTTGGACTAATGCTTTAAATCAGTGTATGTGATAGCTATAATATTTTGCAGGTTCTCAAAGTTATATTCCTATACAGGGGCCCAAGGGACAGTAAAAACTTGGTAAATTGATATGTATGCTAGATTTTTCATCTTGAACTAGCTCACTGGGGGAAGAATTTCAAGGATATAATCCTTGAAATTAAGGATATCCTTAAGGGTATAAACCTTTTTGGCATGCATGCCATATATTGGCCCCGTACAATCCCCAAGTGCCACTCTGATCCCTTTCCTCTGCCTGATCTGCTTTCTGATCCCTACTCTGTGCTCCCTTCCCAATCTCCTGCTCTACTTTCTTCTCCCTGCCCTGTCTACCAAAGTACTGCCTATCCCTGCCTTCATGTGCCATGCCACAGAGACTGTCTATGCCACTTGTGGCATTCATGCTTCAGGTAGACCACCCCTGTACCAGCTGAGGAGAAGACTAATTCCTCCTTGAATCCTGATCTTATTTTTAAATCACACATTATGATGTAACTACCTGGTATCTGAGATATGTCAAAATTCAGTCACAAAAAAGAACATCTGCATTTGGCAAGTCATCCTCTGGATAACCAGTGTCAAAACTGAATGTTCCTTGGTAAATAGCATATATGTGAGTTGGGCCTGGAAAAACTTTTAATTGTATTTAAACTATATGGAATTTATTCTGATAGAAACATAAAAGCAACTGTCACCCTCAAATAAAAACAAAAATCACTGGAGCATTTCCTTAACCTTGACTTGAGTTATGTCCCCATACCTTCTACCCTACTATCTTGCAAGGAAGTAACGATCATAGATTAAAGAGAAAAATGTTCAAAAGAGAATGCACTGCTAAGAAGGAGATTAGTTATTTTTAAGTAACAAAGTTGCTTCTAAATATCAGTCCCCATGTTCATGACCCCAGTGGAGGGCTGTGACTGTCCCAGGGACATTCTGTTTTTTGAGTGCATCTGCCATGCGGTTGCAACAACAGATTTTGCAAGGCAACCATCAGTCATGAATAGGACTTTCCATGGTGACCTGAAGATCACCCATTATGGGAAGACTGAGGCACATTAACTGTATCCAGGGTTATGGAGCATCTAATTGACCTTGAAGCCATGAAGATGGTCCCTGAGGCAGATTAAATTATTTCCTAAAAGTGTCAAGACCATGCTGAAGAAAGAAGTATTCTCTTAATTCACCAGAAACTCTCCCAAGCAAAGGCCTCCCTCTTTAATATCAAAAATCATCTGGAAGAAAAAGAGATGAAAGACTTTAGCCATTGGTTATGCCAACCTGACTACTAGGGCCCGAGGGACTTATACTGACAGCAAGATCTAACTAAGCTGTTCCTTGGCCTACCTTCAATAACAACAATCATGTGAATCAAAGACCCCAAGAAAAAAAATCAAAAATGCAAACTCTCTTTTATGTTGGGGTTTTTTTTTTTGTGGGAGGGAAGTCTCCTCATTCTATTTGGGTGCAAGTGTTTAGAAAGTGAGTGTATATGCTTATGGGGAAAGAGCATTAAAAGCCCCCAAGCCCCTGAGTAAATTAGGAAGCTTCATCACAGTTTAAAAGATATTATTTAGAGTTGTGCTACTGGGATTTGTTCAGAAATCATGTTTGAAACCATTATGAGTATTGTGCTAGTGTGTATTAAGTAAAGGAGAAAGTAAAGACAACTAATACAACAATAGGGAACTTTGGAGGAAGCAAAGTGGCAAACTAGGGGAAAAATCTTATTCTCCATAATTCCGTAAGACTAACAAAGTCAATTTCACCCTCTGCCCTAAGTGATCTGCCTTGGTGAAGGATTTAATACCAAAATGGACAGTTACGTCCTTCACAAGCTTGGTCGAGGCCACAGCTGGGGCTGGAATGCTAGTTGGAGACTTAGATTAAAGAAAAAACAGCTTCTCCTTCAATAGCCTGATACATTATCCACAAAAAGTAATTCTTTCTCGTGCCAGCATCATGATTTCGTTTGAGTACTTGATGGCATGACAATTTCATGATCGACAAAATCATTGTTAAGCCACTGTTCTATTAATTCAATCCCAGTTGTGATCTTGATAAACTGTTAAATTAATAGTTGTGATATATTTATTTGTTTTCTTATTACTCTCTTTAATAAAATCCACAAATAGCATATGGAGCCTGTTTCTCTTTCAAATTTTTACCTTGGCTAGAAACTCTCCAAGCAAAAGTGTTCAGCTGAGGTATTTGAGAACCACTTCACTCTGGCTGTATGTTAATACCATTGTCATTACACAAATGAGAGATGTTATCTTAAAAACAAGACTGCTTGTACACAGCTCTTCACAGCTGTTCTATTTTTGTAGAGAAGCTTTATAAAAAGTTGATGAAACTCTTTATCTAAATCTAAATTAATTCTAAAGCTACAGCTATGAACAATTTCATCTTTCTTTTTTTTCTGGTGGCCGTGTGTAATCACAAAAATGTAATTGCCAGAACTAAAAAGGAGAGGCCTATTTACATCTAACTATTTCAATACATCCTCCCTGCCTCCCTTGCCTCACAGCAATATGGTATTAGCCCTACAGTGCCCTGCCCCCACCCCCAAGTCTTTATAATTGCAGTTCACTCTAATAAACGAATCTTCAATCTCTACAACTCAACCACAAGGCAAGTTACTAGAGGGAACCCATACATGTGCCTTACTGTCAATCTGTCTGGTAGTCCCTAGTCAGACCCACCCTCTCCCCCCTGTGTTCTTCCTTCATTTTGCAGACTTGTTATTCTTTCAGTTTGTCAGTGTTTAGAATAAGAATATTTCAGCTGCCTACTCTAGCAGATTTCATTTGGAATAATAGATGTATATGGTAATTATCAGTGGTCATGCTTTGGTTGTAAATTGATAAAATTATTCCAAACTTTAGAAGCCAGCTCTTCATCATTCTCTGCAGAGCATTTTTCTTTTTTACAGAGTTGGGTGATTGCCAGGAAGCCTATCCTTCCTCCAGCATCTGGCTTCCAGGTTCTTTAAACCAAGAACCAGCCAGGCAGAATGAATATAAGGAGCTTGTAATATTTATGCAGTTCTCTGCATGTAAATAGAATTTCCTTTGTATATGTGAGAGATTTTTGAAAATCTCTCCATCAGCATCTCAAACAAGATCAAGAAAAGGAGGGAATATCTTTCCTCACTTTACGCTTCTTATTTTTAACAATGCGGGTGCAAATGCCTGTCTTCAAATGGTTCCATAAATCCTGGCAGCAATTACACTCTAATCCAGATTCAGACTAAAATAAATTAATATACTTTGCAGTGCTTTGTAACAGAGACTTCCCACTAAATATCTGGGAGCCAGAGTTGCAGCTGTCGTAAACTAGCGTAGCGTCACTGAAGTTGCACAACGTGAAGATTTGGCACTGGTCTCTATATCCTTCTTCTGACCTTTCTGTTGGTACAGGCTGTTTCATTCTTTGGGGGGTGGAAAGCATCATTAAGAGGGGAGGTATACATACGGAAGGATTCAAAACACTCCCTTCCACCCCCCACTAGCTAGGCAATACAGCCAAAAGTTACACCCTAGTTTTAGCAGGCAGTGTTTTTACAAATATAAATCCAGTTCAAAATTATCTTAATTGTAAAGATGTTTATTTAAACATGAAATAGTTGCCATTATTACTTCTTCCCAATAATAATAATAGATGTGGGCTAAAACTTTATTTTGCAGATTCATGCAAAAAGGTGTAAAATCAAAAACCATGGTAAAATAAGCCTTTAGAAATTATCTGTATAGTGCAGGAGTATGTATGCTGCTACTATTTTTAAAATGCTATTATGATATAAGTATAAATGACTATGATGCATCACCAGTAATGCATTTTTAGTTTAAGAAAGTGATTTGTCTCTGTTGCATGGTTTTTATATTGGTTACAGATCATTTCACTAAAATGCAAATATAATTTTTGCAATAAATGTAATTGCCATTCTCTAAAACAACAAACACTAGGTAAAATCTGCCCTTAGCTATACCCAGGTACTTGCTAGTTTGGAATTTCAGCCTAACACTTGCAAAACACCATGTAGTCACACAACACAAACTCAGTGCAATTATTCAGGAGTTATATCAATGTAACAGAGAGCAAAATTTAGCTAGTCATGTATAACAATGGTCTGCTAATGATTTAGCATCTTCTATAGCCCTTTAAGTTAATTTATTATGAACCTTATTGTGTCCCTTCCTTTTACAATCTGGAGCAAGAGCAAGTAGAGACTTTTGCTTACTATCCGGAATCAAATTGTTGGAAAGGGTGGTATGTCGTTGGTGCAGCATCCTTCATCACAGCCGTCCAGGATCATGTAAGCTGGAAAGGTTATGAAGAAATATGACTCCCTCTTAATGGGGTGTAGCAAATTAGTTTCCCTTCAATGTAACCAGGGATTTCCAGGGAGTGCTGTGCCTCTTTGGGGCAGAATACCTCCAAATCATTCTAGCAGGGCAGAACAGCAGTGCCAGCACTAACAGTACTATGGCTAAATGCCACAGTTGAACTCGTTGCCTTTTATGTGTCCTATTATAGCATTCTGATACACAGGGAGCTTATAAACAATAGTGTGAAATTCAGTGTTCTAGTTCTAAAGGAATAGCTGCAGCTCCCTTTTTCCATTTAAACTCAACTAAAATATTAAAATGTGATGTTTTGTAAAAAAAAGTTGTACACAGATCTACTCAGATCAAAGGCCTGAAGACATTAGCATTTTTGTTTTTTCATTTTTTTTTCAGATGAGTTAACACAATTTCTATTTTATTAAGTCTGTTTATATTGAAATAATGCAAACTTTATTTCTAAACATTTCTAAGACAATGACTGCACATTTTTCCTTCACTTTGGTCAGTGACCTCTTTGGTCCCTGGCTTCAGTACTACCCCATTCTCATCCAATGCCCTAGTTTTCATCTGCCTTCTGAAACAAATTATCCTTTGCACTGAAATTTCTCATGTTTGTTCTGAGCCTAGAGTTGAAGAGGCAACTGAGCTCTGACCCTATGTCATCTATGATGCTGATGGGCTGGGCTTGTCCCCAGAAATAATGATTTATAGTCTTTGGTCTCATCACATTGCAGCTCAATTTGACAAAGACCCAGTTCTTATCTCTGTTTCCATAACCAAGGCACAATAGCTTGTTTCAAAGGCTGGTATACACCCAGTGTGGAAGTCCAACAGATCCCTACAGCTCAGGCCATATTTATTCATTAGATAGACAAGGAAAAGTGCAGCATCAGGTGTATGTGCAAAGGTCAGGGATTTCTAAATGGAAAAGAAAAAAATAATGTCCCCCTAGCACGGTAACAAACCAGCTTCCATTTTACCTCATGTTAAATCAATGTATATGTGCCAGCAGATCTCAAAGTCATTTGGGTTTATACCTACATAAACAAACTGTCACAAGTAGCTTTGTTTGGGGTGAGAATGGTTTCTTTCCATTGTCTTCCACCCTTTACATGCCATTACAACTCTGAGGAACATAGCTGAGATCAGCCCATCCACCAAGCTGCCGACTCTCATTCTTTGTGTTGGACGTGTTCGGAGAGTCCCTGAAGTCCCCTGAGAGTTTCACTGATTCTTCTCTCTCATCATTTAGGATTTTTGCTCTCTTTTGTATTTCCTGTTTTTAAGCACTTCATACAAACATCAACCCCCACTTCAAGTGAAATGGGGATTATTACAGGCTTTTTTGTCTCATCAGTAGAGCTGGTCAAACAAGGAAGGAAAATAAATGCATTAATATAATCACTAACTGATGAGGAAACAATTCATCAAATGAACTATTTACAAACATTAGTCAACTGACTTAAGGGTTTCCTTAAATCTTCTCTGATGAAATCATCATCAGGCAAATCAGTATACTCCTATACTATATGCCTTAACAGTCAGTAAAGCCTCAGTTCCTGCAAACTGTAAACAACCTATATTCACATGCGTAGTCCCACCACTTTCAGATCTTCACTGTAAATAAGAGTACAGGACTAGGCCCTTTTAGACTTATCTCAGGTGTCATGAAAGCTCTAATACTTGTAAAAGAACAAACAGAAAAGGAAGAAAAGAAGTTGAAATTAAAATTAAAATTGGCCAGGCATAAACAAAATAAGTAGCATGGTTTGATGCATTCCCCTCTCCCCGCTTTGTTTTGTGTGTATACGTCTAAGTTAGAGTCCAGTCCTTCAAACCCTTGCTAAACAACTGTTTAAAACCATGACACTAAACAAGCATTTGAAAAAGTAGGCATTTAAACCAAAAGGCTTGTGATAGAAACTTTGTCCTTGTATGTTAGTAATATGCTCTTCACACCTAATAATTATTGTTTTGTATCTTTTCACACTGTTCTGTTACATTTGACATAGTAGTTGTCCACAAAAATAAAAGCTGATCACTTAAAATCTGGATTTGTATACAGAAAACCCCAAATATTTTCAGGAAAAAACTGAGTTAACACTTTCCTTAATTTCTATTTGGCTCACATTGTGTTTTTGCAATAATTGTTTCCACCATGAATGATACAAAGGACCTTGTGACCAAATGCTGCAGCTTGGTCCTGCTTAGAAACATAAAAGGGCAACAGTTGGCTTAGAAAAATTACTGGTAAAAAACGGATTTCTTGGGAAATAATCTATGATCTGGCAGCAGAGACAGGTCACACAAGAAGCATATGCTGGGGATGAAGGAGGGTTCCTAGCAGCAAAGATGAGGTGTACTCTGTGCAAGAGTTGTGTTTTGCTACTACTGGAAAATCTCCTGATCCTGGGACTAGTGCCCACTACCTGCAAAACCCTGAATAACAGCCAACTTTTGAAAAAGTTTAGTATCATTTAATACTGATTGTTCAACACTCAGTAAATGGAACAATGGCTCATGGTGGAACTGTTTGTTGTTCTACCTCAGAACAGTCACGTCACAGAAAAGGCCTGAGAACTTTCAAAATAATTTTTAAAAATTATTTGAGTGGAGAAGGAACAGAAAGGTTTAAATGCAGTCACTTTGTCACTGTAGAGAAAGCATACTGATTATGGGTGGAGACTGATAAAATCTTTAAAGGCAGACTGCATTCTCTGATGTAACTGAAGCCTATCCTGGATCAACAAAGTGGCTATAGCTGCTTAAGACACTGCAAGTAACTGACATGGTAGGAGCTCCAGTTATCATTGCCTGGATACACATGGCACTTCCCTTTCTTCTCCAATGCTCACTGCTCGCTAAAGTAGTAATAAAATTAGGGCTTGAAAAACGAACATCTTTTCATCAGAGCTGAGGTCCCCACAAAGACACAAGATATTCTTGTGCTATACACAGTGGCAGAGATGGCTTTCATTTTGTGGGGAAGGGGGTTAAGTCTGCATACAGTCTTATTTAACCAAAAATCCTTGTTTCTTACATAGTTCCTGTTCCAGCATGGTTATAACGCTCTGACCCTACTACAAAAAATGGGGATGGGCATCTTCATGGTCACACTGAAATATGAGGCCATATAAAAACTGGAGACACTTACAGGTAACTACATCATCCGGGTGGCTTTTAGGCACAATCCCATGAAGTTGACTCATTCACTCTGCTGTGTAGCTCTATAGGGATACAAATAAATACCATGAATCTGGAATAGAACCCTTAAACTTCTTTAGGTGTGTTTCTTAGAGAATTGCAGTGCTAAATGTAGCCCTCACTTACCCCCCATGATGTCACTGGAAATGCATGAGCGTCACCAATGACAGAATTTGGCCTGAAGATTTTAAGTACATAGAGAGAATAGGATCTCCCCTCCCCATCATTCATAAGGCACAAGTTACATTGCCCTTTTTTCTTTCTATAAAAGATTTCTTTTACTTCTTTCAGGTCTCTGCTGCCTGTTACACATTCTTCTGTGCCTGGCATATAGAACTTCCCACAGAACCTTGTCAAACATCAGCTAGAAGGAGGTACAGTCTAGGTAGACATTCAAAAAGCCCAAGGCGCAATCAGTCTAAGTTAAATGGTTTTCTGTAAGTGGCATGGTTTAGATCAGTGGTGAACAGAACACGCATTAGCCCTTTGGTGGGCAGGATGCAAATCTTAGACCAGGTCACCCCATTTTTAAATCAGTCTATGCTTACCAAACTTCTGTTACGGGAATAGACTGGTTTTGTGTTCCGAACTAATCTCCAGACAGATGAGATCACCTATATGAGGTACTCAGCGTACAACCACCCAAAGAGAAGAACTTCAGTTTGGTTTCAAATACTGGTATGTGCATCCTGCATTTAGTCATTCAGAAATCCTCACCTTCCGTGGCACACATGTAGAAACTGCACCCAGGACCAGGCGACTCCAGCACGAACTGCACCAGAGTTTATCCAGTTAAAAGAAAGCAAATAACAATTAGCTTGTGTGTGTGTGTATTTTTCTTCTTTATTTACTCTACAAGGTGCAAATTGACCCTGCCTTTTACTTGAATAGAGTCACTCAGGTTTACACTGCTCTCTAGTTTGGTGCATGAACCTGGCCTCTAGCCTTCACTACTAAAAAAGGAAACTACAGAGTGTATAACAAGCCCATGACTGCCACAGAATTACTGTGCTGCTTAAAAGACATAAAACATGCAACAGCTGCATAGATCCTACAGTTGTCATCTATCTAAACCAGGGGTGGGGAAAATGGCAGATCCACTACCTGCACGCCCCTGGAGCAGCAGATCGCAGCTCTGCCCCAGGTCCAGCCTACGCTGTCACCACTACAAGATCCCAGCCCCGGTCCTGGCACAGCTTCCTGCCCAGCCATGCACCCTGCCAGTGCTGCTCAAGACAGCCTCCATGGAGACCCTGGCCCCACCACTCCTGGGGTCTCCAGGAGACCAGTCAGAGCAATAAAGGCAGGGGCTGCTGGGAAATGGAGTCCGCTGAAGGCCCAGTCCAGCCCATGTGCCAGACTTTGCCTGCCCCCAATCTAGACTCAGAGGCTACCAGACTTGGCAGTTATCATGAAAAATTGATTTGAGATTTTTCTGCTCCAAATATACAAATCTCCATTGCTTGACTGAAAGGGAAATCTCTATTACCTGTAACATCAGTGGTCTAGCTATGGGAAGGCAGCAGCTACAAATGTTGAGCAGGTGTTGCACTGTCTGGTAGGGTGCATATACATTGCCAGACCCATCCATATTTTTAGATCACTGACAAACTGAGACCTCTGTTATGTAAGTGGAGTGAGCAGTGTCTTTGGCAGGCCTGCAACCTCAAACCCAGGGCTTGGCCTAACCAGCACAGCAGCTTACCCTAAACTGCCACTTTCACTGCAATTCACTGGGGCTGAACAAGGCATACCTTACAGCCTTGTCAAT